TCACAACTGCTTGTATTTTCCTTAGCTGGGACATCTGCAATTTCACTTCTCTTTTTTCTGATTCTATATTCACTTCCCATACCTTAAAAATTTGCCCAAGTTTCCAGAAAAACGCAAAGATGTAACTATATTAAGAATGACTAAATAAGAATGATTTGGTGAACCACTGTGATGGGTCCCTGGGTGAAGGCACATGCCACCAAGCCTGATGACCTGAGTTTGAGCTCCAGAACTCTCATAGCGAAGGAGAGAACTGACTCCCATAAGTAGTCCTCTGGTGTCCCGACACATGGTACATACGCACAAACATGTGTACATAGATACATAAATAAAAAAGAACAAAAGTTTAGGTAGTTTTGTCAAGTGCTACTTATAAAGTGGTATGACTTTGCATTTCTAAAACTAGTGTTCATCTCATCAGGAGACACCTTACACAAACAAATTTTAGATAGAAGAAGGATCAAAGGTGTCCGTCACAAGAAGAACATAAATGCATTAGACATATGTAAAAAGGTAATTTCATCCTTCCCATTCTCGGTGACCGGAAACACCGGTATGAGTTGTGTTCGTCTACTTCTGCTGACCATGCCCCACAGGGCCAGCAGCCCAGGCTCTACACCAGAGTCCCCAAACTTCAGGGGGCTTCTTTCTCACTGTCACCAACGTACGCAACTCTCACCCCACAGCATCCACAAAACCTGCATGCCGTAACATTCCCACAACTCTGGCATGGCTGAACAGTTGAGAAAAAAACAGAACAAAGAGCGCTCACCTGTATGACAAACACTGTAATCAAAGGCTAAAACCGTCTGGCTTGTTGTTCCTTCGGGGGAGGAGGTAACCGAAACACAACTCCACAGCCCTTAGAAGACCAACAACAACAACTACAAGCAATCATGCTACGCTGCCTCCCTTTATTATAAAAAGTATGATGCTGTGTTTCGCACTTTAATAAAGTTCAGTGAAATGTTGGCCAACTGAAAATGATCCATTTCAGTACCCACTATAATCTGTATTTTTAAGATCTCTAATAAAACGCAGTAAAAAAAAAAAAAGTAAAGACACTCGTCCCAAGAGCTAGTATATGTTTCCCACCCCAACAAATTACATCTACTAAAAATAATCTAAGCAGTTACTTCTACTAAAAATAATCTATGCAAAATTAGAATTGAGATTATGGGTTGCTAATATTTAAGAAACACACATCTCCTTGTACACGAAATATGAGAGTGTGTACAGACATATAGAATTGGGCATGCTTCGTTCTATCGTCAAACCAAGTCAGTATAAACAATACCCATCTCCCTAGCTTTCTCTACAAGAGAATATAATTTTAATCATAAAATTTTTATTCAGTCATTTTGTTACAAAACTGACATATGCCCCACATGCTTTTGTAATCAGTTTTTCTTATGAACAGGAGGATCTGGTGAATTAATACAGAATGAAGCCATCTGAAGCATGTACAGTGTTTATATAATTACTGAAGAGTGAAAAGGGAACACAGGCACACAACATACACTGTAGGATCAAGTGAGATTTTATCTACCATCTACCTGATCTACACACACACACACACACACACACACACACACACACACACACACACACACACACACACGAGAGACGGACTATGCCGTGATTGTGTACAAGGCCTGTGATGTGAGGGTCACTTGAAATAGAGAAATGGCAAGTGTGAAACAGTGCAGTTCTGTATGGCATACATGTTTTACTACCAACAGGAAAGACTGTGGGCAAAGGCTGTGAGCTCCCAGAAAGCCACTTTTGTGAGTGCTCTGTTACATGACACACTTATGTGAATTGGGTGGCCAATAATGCATTTATGCAATTATTCTATCTTCAATTTGTGCACTAACTTCATAGTCTATATTCTGAAAACCGGGCTCTGTTCTCTTTAACCCACTCTGTATAATAGTCAAGCCACTATAAAGCACTGATACTGTAATAATGACAAGCATGTGTCATGTCCCCCAAAATAAAAGCCATTGCTTAATGAAGGAATAAGCCAGGCATGGTGACGCAAGTTACTCCCAGCATGAAAGAGGCAGAGACAGGGAACTCTCTGCGAGCCAGCCTGGTATACATAGTGAGTTCCAGGACATAGTGAGCCAGGGCTCTGTAGAGAAACCCTGTCTCCCCACCTTGTCCCAAACAAACAAACAAACAGACAGACACTAAATAAGAAGACACAGAAAAGATCTTAGAACTAGGAATGTAATATAAACTTAAAGACACACTTACAAAAGTTCATTTAAATTACATACTCACATGGTTATATCTATAACATACATATAACTTATCTTATTCTTTAAATCTTTTTGAGTTCATAACCAAACCAAAATCCAAATGAAATCTGTGTATAACTACTGATCTGAACTGGGAAACTGTAAAACACAAGGATTACTACAGACACAACAACGGTGAGTTATTCTCTATTATTTAACCAAGCTGGGGACCACACAGGGCCTCATCCATGCTAAGGACATGTTATATCACTGAGCTATACCCCAAGAGGAGTTCTTAACAGTTAACCTGATTAGAATATTTAAGACTCTATGTAGCCCAATCTAAACCCAAGGGGAACTAACAATAAGGAAAACTGTATTTAAGGAATAATTTAACTTGGTGCAAATTATATATCAGTACTTCAAAGACCTAAGATAAGATGTTTACATTATGATCAGTGGTCTGGTAATAGTTAAACAGTTAAATGGGGGAGGGGAGCACCTGAGCTTCTAATAATGTGCTTCAAACATTATCTTTTTCATTAATCAATTGATTTTATCCTCAGGTGCTTTCAAATGGATCACTACTGAACAATATTTAAAAGCAAGGCTAAGAAGCGCACTGCTTCCTTTGACTAATAGGGAAGCTTTTGCTGGTGTGTGCACTACAATGAAAAAGACCTTTTCAGAACTGTACACATGTAAGCAGCACCATGTAATGCCTTGGCAAGTTTCTAAATATATTTCTTCACTTCTAACGGAGCTAAAAAGATCTAATTTGCTGCCAGCGTTTCTTGGCCCAAATCCAAGACAAGATGACCTTGTCCTTGAACAATACAATAGGACCTCGCTTCCTCTGGGCCTCTCTGTGAGCAAGCACTGAAGAAAATCTTCCCAAGAGATAAGTTCATTTCATCTCAGGAAATAGATCTGTCATAACAGACAAAATAGAGATCAGATAAGAGGAGGAGGAGTTTTAACCTGTGATAGGAGTCCTAATTTACTGCCTATAATTAGGGCTAGAGCCATTTTTCATTGCTAAGGGCACTGTGTTGGTCAAATGGTGAAGAGTGACCCTAACCAACGCAGACAAGGTCAAACTGCTGAGGTGAGAAGCAGCTGCTGTTTGTTTGTTGTTTGTTTTCTTAATTAAGTTTTCTTAAACCTGGTCTACTTAACTCGCATCATACTCCCGCTGGATCTTCAGATTACAGTCTTTCATCTCTTAGCTACCGTCAACTGGCCCTAGCATTCCTCTTGAACACAGCCCATTGCAACAGTGATGAGTCTGCTGTCCTTGGATCCCTCTGTATCCTCACTCTCTGCTTGTGGCCCATGTTATTCTGCCAGCCTTGAAAAGCCTTCTTTATTCTGTATTCTTAACAGCTGACAGGCAGTTTTAAATTCCAACCGTATTCATAATGTGTGGTCCACGGGGGAAGACCTCATTCAAGGTGGGAGTTCCCGTGTCTCCATAAGGGCCAGGCCTATTTCCAAGCACCAATTAGAAGAAATAAGAGGATTAAACGTTACATAGCATGTGCTCCTGAATTCCTACTACTGAGACAGAGTACCAGCAAAGCTGAAGAGACATGGAAGAGGTCAGGCCAAGCCAAGTGCGGGGAGTGCAGGCCGAGAAAGTGGGAAGGAAAGGGGCCACTGCTTGGAATCAGACCAGCTTGCCTGGAATTTTAGAAGCACAGAGGGAAATCATCCATAAAGGGGAAAATTCGTTTTTAAAGGGCCTTAGGAATTTAGACAATATAAGTTCAGTGATCTTTTATCTTCTTGGCCGGGGAACATATAAATTGTGAATGTAATTCAAGCACTTGGGGGACTAAGGAAGGAGGGTCTCCACCCCACCCCCAACAAAGGAAGAGAGAGGAGGGAGGGGAGCCTAAGGAGGAGATGTAGTTCAGGTGTTAAAGTGCTTGCCTAGTGTCCCTGAAGCCCCAGGGTCGCTCTGCAGTAGTGCATAAACTTGGCATGGTGGGACAGCACACAGGAGGATCAGAAGTCCAAGTCAAAGTTATCTTCTGCCAGTCTGAGATACAGGAGACCCTGGTTCAAAGTAAAGGGGAGGGCAGGGCAGGGCAGGGGAGGGGAGGGGAGGGCAGGGCAGGGCAGGGGAGGGCAGGGGAGGGGAGGGCAGGGCAGGGCAGGGGAGGGGAGGGCAGGGCAGGGGAGGGGAGGGCAGGGCAAGGCAGGGGAGGGGAGGGCAGGGGAGGGGAGGGCAGGGGAGGGGAGGGCAGGGCAGGGGAGGGCAGGGGAGGGGAGGGCAGGGCAGGGGAGGGCAGGGGAGGGGAGGGGAGGGCAGGGCAGGACAGGGGAGGAGTAGATGAACCCTATGGTTCAGACAAGTCACAGCCAGCATAGACAGAGGGAGAAGACAGAGTGGGAAAGCTGGGTCTGCGGCAAATGCAGGCCACACTGGCCCTGACAGGAGGTAGCAGTGAGTTTGTTATGCTTTCAGAGGAGCTGAGAGACTATGGTATACTAGAAGGTATAAAGGAATGGCTACGGAAACTAAGACACGGAGCTTACGTTTAAAGTGCCGGTTAAGCAGCAAGCGAGCAGAGGTGGCTCCCACCTCCTGTCTCGGCTACTCAGCAACTTGAGGCAGCAGGATCAATGACTTCAGCGTTAGCTAGGCTACACAGCAAGGTCCACACCTGTGGCTTAACCAATGAGATCAACAGTATCAAAGAGCTGGGGACTGGGGGGCACAGAAGGCCAGCAGGAAGACACCGGGCTAACTGGCATCCCTTCCTGACCATCCCAACCCAGCCTCAAGGAAATTCACTTCAGAAATGAAGGATGCAACCGAGTACGCCAAGCAGCATGCAGGTGTGGTAAATACTTTTCGTTGCAGTATCAGTACGTTGATAAGAGTGGTGACTGTGATGTCATGTGTGCCAAGAACACAGAGTAGTAAAAGGCCAGCACCGTTCTAAGTTTTGTGGTCCGTTTATTGATACTGCTGTCAAGATTACACACTTTACACAGGTGTGTAAATTACAGGGGATCTAGTCACACGAGTGGGGTATTTAGACCTGCTTTTAATGTAAGATAACAGCCTGGGCTGCAGGGATAAGCAATGCACATTACTGAGTACCAGGTGTCTTTTTCTTTTAACTACCCTTTCCTCGTTTCTAAAGGCAATCCTACATCTTTCTTCAGAGTTTAGCAACGTAGTGTGAAATACGGTGCCTGGTGTGCAGCAAATGCTCACAGCTATCGAAGCTCTCCCTTCCACAGGAAGTCGGCATACCCGTCTGTACCCACCTTGTCCCATTATTTAATCTTAACTTCAAATATGAATTAAGGTAAAGAAAAAGCACTACACAAATCAATAATTTGTATAAATTTTTTCAAATAGAAAACAGGCTATCAGCTTGACAGTGACAAGTCCATTATGTTAAAGTGGCCAATCTGAAGGATTTACCAAGTTTCAGAATTTACACAAATTGTGTAATTTCTTTAAAAGGCTGATCTACTGAGTAAAGAAGATATTCTGCTTAGTTGATTTTATAGACACAGCTCACTATACATCCAAGCTGGCCTTGAACTTGCAACCCCCTGGCTGAGCTTCCTAGTACTGTAACAGGTGTGCACCACCACACTTGGCTTGAGTAGAGACTTTTAATGCTATCGTAACATTTTCTTCAATCTCTGGAGGGTGTGGAAGCTTTTCCAATACAACACTGACTTGCAATTATTACAACTATGGTTTTTTTTCCAAATGCAGCTTTGTAACACATCTCTGAAATGTGAACAAAGCTTTATTTTTAAGATTTCATAAGGAATCTATATTTACAAAATGGCAACATTCCTACAAGGGCCAACTGAAAAGCATTCTATGTAATGAAAGCATCCCAGTGCTGACGGATTTCTGTAATTGTCTTATCAATGGGCCCCACAGAAAAGGGATGGAGATGAGAAAAAACATAAAACTCAAAAGCTTTAAAATCTCAAAAGGTTAAATAAGATTTTGCTAATCCAAAAATCCAATTAAATGAGAACACTAAGAATATTTACTATGCATTCATCAAGCAACACAGATGTCCACTGAGTGAGGCAGAAAAAAGATAATCAAATCTGTATGATGTAAAAAGATTCTTCAAGACAGGATAGCAGAGTCCCCAAAAATGTTTTCATTGTTGTAGTAACATACTTCCTCCTATAATCCAGGGGAAGTGGGGGTGGGAAGTCATTTAAAAAGCCACAGACAGTATAGAGAACCAAAACTTGAAATATTCTTGAATTTAGTGGAAATGACTCAACTAAAGTCAGTGGTGACATTTTTCTGGTATAACATTACAGGAGCCTTCATACCTATTCTGCTCATCACTGTGGACTGGCCCACCACGGCTGGAGAATCAGAGGTGGCTACTCTTATCCAGCTACTCATGCATTCTGAAGCCTGGCTGCCAAGTGACAGCATGTCAATCAGAGAGGATGAGACAATGACCAACAGCAAGACCTCAGAATCAAAAGCTGCCAGCACCCCATACTCTGTGCCCTGCGTGCAAACCCCAGCACTTCCTTTAGTGAGATACAGAGTACTTAACGGGAAACACACCTGAGTGTGGAACAAACCACACAACTATCAGCTCCCTGTTAATGAACTGGTAATTGGTGCTCTCAGCTCCAACAGTTCTCATTTGCACAAGATTTTAAGAGGTTTTGCTTCCTTGATCAATCAACGACTTTAATAATTTTCTTTAGTAAATGTGTAGTAGGAAGAGTGCTGCCCCTTCCCATTCTGGGGAAGGCTACACGAAAAAGGTGCACAGTGAGTCCATGGTCTAAATCTTCTGATGTGCCCCACGTGCAGATGAACAGGCTTTCTTTACCTGGAAGCCAGGTGCCAAAGACCTGGACAAAAGTCAAACTCCAGTGCAAGTTCTCTCTGACAACCTTTCTTCCACGGAATGAGGTAAATCTCTTTTCTAGACTAGGCCTGAAGAGATTTAACCCGGGAAAGCATGCCTAGAACCCCAGTAGGACAGGGTTGGGACAAATACAGCACCGAATCTGCCAGCAAGTAGCCCCAACTGAAGGACAAGAGGCTCACTCACCAGGTGAGGCGCCACCTCAGAGTCACCGCACCTAAGAACTTTCCTCCAGCCATAAACTGCTCATCATTTAGTGATGGCAGAACCAACTTACAATCACAAACCTAAACCTAAATACTCTGACTCATGGCATCCTAGCTGCTAATTCTCAAGGCTTTAGTACTTCATACGTATTTTTGAAGTTTGACACTATTGCTTAGAATACATTAAAACTAATTCCTCTATCACAATGTACAGATCTAGGACATGTAAGGAAACGGTTCTAAAATGCTTATGTATCTACCTAAACTAGAGCACTTTAATTGGAGGGTTGTGTATGTGTGTGTGGTAGGCACACATCGCGCGCGCGCGCGCACACACACACACACACACACACACACACACACACACACCAATGTCATGAACTGGCAAATGGCAAAGCACCTGTGACAAGGTGACACAAAAGTAGCACCCCAGGAGTGCACATATTCCTGGAACCGGAGGCTGTGACCTAGACTGAGACACAGAAATACGTTTCTCACAAACAGCAGTTGCTGCCTGTGGGATTTCAGCAAGACAATCACATAGCTGACTCATGGGACCAATTACAAAGGAACAGTAATTTTTTTCCTGTGGCATTAAAACAATACAGTGTACTTTCATCACCAATTAACAAATGTTAGGAAGTCCGAAGTGTACCACCGGTAGTTTTATTACCAAATCAATAGCCAAAGCCCCCACCCTCCCGCCCACCTCCACGTGCATTCCTTGCCAGATTTCCCATGGGCCGGAATCGCTCATGATGTTTCACTAAATTCAACCGAAGAAAGGTTTCTCAAACAAACTGCTTGGGCATTTAGTAAGAACTACATCATCTCCTAATGAGAAAAGCCAGTTGTCCAGTATTTCCCAATGCTAGTGGTCTTGTTTAAATAAACTGTTGGTCTTGCTTTCGATTTTTAGAAATCACGGCAAAATTGGAAGAGCGAGAGAGCTCTAACTCCCCCTCCTCCCTCCTCTGAGCAGGCTATCACTACCCTCTACAGCACCGCTTCCCCTGGGGAAGAGCAACACTCCATGGAAAAGCTCCCAGCCTGCTCCCCACACTGCCTGCCCCCCCAGCCGGGCAGCCTGTGATGCCGGCAGCGCCTGGATACTTACGGACTGCTTCTCCTGCTGGCCCAGAACTCCATGGCTAGCAGGCGCGGCCAGTGGTTTCATAATGAAGGAACGTATGCTGAACTGAATTTACACATCATGTACCAACCTCTCACGATGGCAAGTCACCCTCTACAGCATGAAATTAAAAGAAAAAGGGGAAGAAAAAAAGAGGGAGGAGGGAAAACCAGGCTGCAGCTTAAAGTGTCACTACTGGTGAGCTTAAAAACCCTTCACACTTGGAGACAGGAAAGGAATCGGAAGGACAGGGCTCGGCTCCATTTTTATCACACTGAAACTCTAACCCTCCGAGTCCCTGACGAGGGCGAGGGAACCTCACCCGGCCTTCAGGCTTCTGAGAGAACGAGATCATTTCTGAGGCTGAAGAACGAGAGGCAAAAGAGAGGGGAAAAGCTAAAATGGCTGACTGCACACAAGATTCCCCTCCAAAAGGCTTAACACAGAACTATATTAGCCAGGGTGGTGAAAAGGCAGTCTCTAGCATTCAGCCAAGCATTGTTAACACTCTTGCTTCATTTGCAATCACACGTACAGACCCCTCCAACCAAGGGGAAAAAGAGAGAGAGACGGAGAGGAAGAGGGGAAAAATCAGGGCAGAGCGTGCGAATGAATCAGGACCTCCTCCCTAGCTGCTAACGATGCTGACAGTGGTGACCAGTGATCTCCGTCCCACGCCACTAACCAAGTTTGCACAATTAATCTCAGCAGCATGACACTGATGGACATTTAATGTAATGATGTCTGTCCCTCACACTCAACACAAGCATGCCTGCTAGCCGGAGTCACTGACAGAAACACAGCACATGCACACACACACACACACACACACACACACACACACACACACACACACACACACACAATCTCAAGAACCATGAGTCTGAATGCAATACACCAATATAATTACATTATTGTGCTTACTTTGGAGGACCATGGCTGCAGGCAGTTGGCATAGCAACGCACAAGGAAAGCCATTTCCTGGGTAGAGAAAGCTTCCTTTGCTAAATAAAAAAAAAAAATCCCTCTTAGGAAACAAACGGCATTGCTGCTTCCCGCAGAAAGCAAGACACTGTAGTCTGTCTTAACCTGCAAGGCTCACACTCGATGTGGCTCTAGTGATGTAAGTGGGTTTCTCTCTCACCCTCCCTCTCCCCATATACGCTGAAATATTCAGCTCAAACGGCACACACATTCCTTAAGGCTCGCCCCCTCCTCTACTTAACCATTTCACTCATTAAGGTAGCAATGGACAATTCAGATAAAGTAACACGCTCTTGCCTGTATTATATCAGCGGCTGTAGGTTAAGCAAGTCTCAGAGGGATGGAATCCATTGATTGCTGACTCCAAATAATATCACTGAAGACAGGGTGGGAAAACGGAGCAAGGACTTACTTGAACAGCTTTGAACTAAACTATGATTTTTTTTTTCACTAAGGTGGGGAGAAAGGAATCAATGTGACCTCTACCCCACCCTCAACCCTCAACCATTTCTGTGCCATAGTAAATCAGAGTGTCTTAAAATTGTATAAATGCATGCTTAGCAAGCTTTGCTAAATTTAGAAGATGAAATCTTCATACACACATGAGCAAACACACACACACACAGACACACAGACACACACAGATGCACATATGGTCTTGTCAATAATATTATAATAAACCAGCTGGTGCGTGTGCTTTTTTTAAACAAACTGAACTTCTATAGGTAGAGCTGAAATTAAATGACGATACATTATTCTCTCGCAAACTCTTAATTTCTCCCAGGCATCCAGGTTTACCTGGGAGGCTGCATTACAGCTGACAAGGAATAAAGCCACTCCCATCAGCCCTCACAGTCAGCTCTACCTTTGAATGGTAGAGGACAGAAAACAGTGACAGAAAAATATGCCATCTTTAACAGCGGCCTTTGGCATTGTCAGAGCTCCCCACTGGGTCTCCTGTGTGCCTCAGGACTGTGCCCATGCTGTCCTTCCTTCCTCTTCATAACAAAAGGCAGTGATTCCTTCCTATAGTGATGGTAGATTCTTCTCCTCTCCTTCCACCCCCTCTTTGGACATCTTACATTGCTCATCTAATCTCCACAGACTTGAATACACTGCTCCCAACCAAAGGTCTGCCCCATCAACTTGTAAACTTCCATGATGCCCCGACCTTAAACACAAAATTGAACCAGAGTCCTCCTCAGACTCCACGTCTACAGACTCAATCTCTTCCCACACTTCTCAACCAAACGCTGCAAAACTTCATTTCCAGTTTCACTGTTCACATCCCATGGTGTGCTGCAGATAAAAAGCCACTTTGATCTGATATAGGTTCCTATATGCTTGAGTCATCTTCAACACCCGACACCCATCATACTGCTTTAAGTTTTCTCCAGTGTAGGTTTCTCTTCATCTCTGCTATCATCCCATTCCAGGAATTACTTTTTGCCTTCAAAACCACAAAAGTCAACAGTCTGGATTCACTATACATACTACACACTCAACCTATTTGTCATATTCTTTCCAAGCTCTTTGAAAACCAAAGCCTCATCATTTCACATCTATCTTCCATCTTCTGTGCTCCTTGTACATATTAAAATGTACCAATGTACCAAAAATAAATAATAATGACCCATCACAACTTCCAACATTTACACACTTTGGGCTGGTGAGACAGCTTAGCAGATAAGACACTTGTGACCAAGCCTGACAAACTGAATTTGATGCCCAGACCCACATGGTAGAACGACAGAACAATCTCATTATCGGGGAAGGGCATTTAAGTACGCTATCCTAGAGCCTTCATCCAGTGACTGTTGGAAGCAGAGGCAATCACTCACAGCTAAACACTGAACTGAACTCAGAGAAACCAGTTGCAGAGAGGGAGGAGTAGTGAGCAAAGGGGTCAAGGCCAGGAAGTAAAACCCACAGAAACAGCTGACATGAACAAGAGGGAACTCATGGTCCCCAAACTGATGGCTGAGAGGCCAGCATGGGACTGATCCAGACCCTCTGAACGTGGGTGTCAGTGAGAAGGCCTCATCAATCTTTGGGGCCTCAGGTACTAAATCAGTATTTATCCTTGGCATCTGAATGGACTTTGGGAGCCCGTTCCACAGGGAGGGATGCTCTCTTAGCCTGGACACATGGGGGAGGGCCTAGGCCCTACCATGGATGATATGATACTTTGGAGATCCCCCATGGAGGGCT